CTGTGGCCCAGCTGAAGCCAAGGTTGGGCTTTCCATGCCAAATCCGCTGCTTTTCCTCCTACATCAGAGGCATTTCCCCCACCTCGTTGGAGCAGCAGACTTTGCACTTGAAACATTTAATGAGCAAGGCACGTTTTTTGTGTATGACAACTTGATGTGCCGCTTATAAGAGCACTGAAGTTTGCAGAACAGATGATGGCTTTTAAAATAGGCCCAACTCGGATAAGGTGCCAGGTGAACTGAGCCAGTATTACAGGGAAAAGATTTTTGCCCCTTCCTAGCTACAGCAGCTCATTATCTGAACCTTGGTTTCCCCAATCAAGAGGATAATATCTGTCAGCACTTTGTAAGCGCCCAGAAGCGGGAGTCGCCCTGTTCTGGTTGCGTTAAAGAAGGTGGAGTACAGCCCCGGAGGATGTTTTAGGCGTATGGGCCAGAGGGCACTGGGTCAGGGCAGTTCTGGGAGTGGGGTGAGGGGATTGCAGAATAGACCATGAGCGGTCTGAGCAGGAAGAAGGCTAACCCTGCTCAGCCCACATTGATCTACACTGATAAATGCTGGTCTGAGACCAAAAGACAAATCACTCTTAACAGCCTCACTGAGGCTGGAGTGGGAAACGCCCAGTTTCGGGGGCACACGAGGAGTTGAGAGCAGGGGTTTGGGGAATACTTCCAGAGCGTGGAGCCAGAGCCTCGCTGTGACTGGCATTTGCAGAGCTCACCTGGAGGGAGGCTCTGGAGAAAGGCACAGAGACCTGAGTGAGGCCCAGAGCGCCTCCGATAAAGCAGAACCATTAACCTTTGCTTTGGGAGCTCCACCCCTTCCTCCTTACCCCTAACACACTTCGCCCACCTGCCTGGCTGCCTTGCTTCCTGTGGGGAGGTGAATTCCAGGGATGGGTGGCACCAGACGCCAGGCTGCGGCTGTGCCTAGGGCACCCTCCCCTGACTTGGAGTGGAGGTTATCTGCCTTTATCCAGCCCCAGCGTCCTTGCAAAGCGAAACAGGGAATGATTAAGTGCTTCATGATGCCGGGGCCAGAGGGCTTTAGGAAGGGGGTGAGAGGCCTCTGGCATGAGTGGGGTGTGGAGCCTTTAGAGGTGCCTGCATGTGACCGTCTCAGAGCAGGGGCGGTTTGGGCAGCCCCCCGAAGCCCTGAGCAGAGGTGTGATTGGGTACCTGGGAGGATGCCAGGCCAGCTGCGGGGGATCTGGGCTGGACTGGAGCGGGGGGTAGTCTGTGAGGAGGATGGTGGGGTAGGTGGGCTGGGCAGGACCACCAGAGGGGGTAGTGTGGCCGGGGCCTCTGGCAAGGAAAACCTGTTACCTCACCATTGCCCGTGCCCACCTGCTCTCTCTCTCCAAGCCATGAGTGTCCCTAACCTGCTGACCCCAGTGAACTCTGGAACAGTCCCCGGCTCCACTCCCCTCTCATCAAGCCATGACACAGGGACGTGGGTGTTCCCTGCTGTTTGCCTCTTGATGGTTTCTTAAGTGAAATTAAGAGTGAAATCTAGGAAAGGTGCAGCCCTCACTTCTCCTCTGCCTCTCCTCTTCTCTTTTTTTTTTTTTTACTTCTCTCTGTCATGCTCTGTCCCCCCCCACCCCCCTTGGAGATGCAGGGATCGAACCCAGGGCCTCACACACACAAGGCAAGTGCTTGCTAAGCTACATCCCAGCCTGTGCCCCGATGTTTACACACACACACACACACACATACCCAACTCTCAGCATCTTTCTGGGTTCCTCAGCCACCCGGAGCCTTACTGGGCCTGTTCCCCCTGCTAGGCCAGCTCCTTCCCACAAGCTTCAGTCAGATGTCACCTCTTCACTTCACCTCCCAGAGCCCCCCCCCCCCCCCCCGCCCACCCAGTGCAGTATTTCCCCCTCTCATTTCCTGCATGTCCCCGAGACACTGCTCTGGGCGCTGTGGACACAACGAGGAGCAGGACGAGGAGACTCCTGATGCTCGTGTCCCGGCAGGAGATGCTGGAAGGGGCCACAGCGCCAGGCCGTGACAGGGTTCTCGTAGAGAGGAGTGAGGGACTCATTGGCCCAGGTGCTGCGGTCTCTCCATGGAGCTAAGGTTTAGCTGGGCCCACCAGGTGGGGCCTGCCTTTCAGAGACCCAGCGCCCTGCGGGGAAGGGGTTTTTGAGGGAGCTGGAGTGGGGTGAGAGCGGGCAGATGAATTGTGGAGATGAAGAGAGGGCAGGGCTCTGAGCCTTGGGTCCACTCACATTCTCAGTGTGGTGTGGTGCCTTCAGGGGCTCTCAGGCTTGGGGAGGGAGGTGGGGAGCGGCCTGGCAGTGGGAGGTGGTGGCTCTAAATTGGCTGGCATAACCTGGAGAGAGAGAGAGAGAGAGAGAGAGAGAGAGAGAGAGAGAGAGAGAGAGAGAGAGAGAGAGAGAGAGAGAGAGAAGACAGGAGGGCGTGCAGGGAAGGGAGAGGCTGAGCGGGACGCCAGGCTCTGCTGGACTCCTGCCTCTTCTGCCCGGGCCCAACGCCTGCAGGCGGGCAGTCACCAGACCAGTCATGTGGGAGGCGTGGCACCGCCAAGCACCAGGTCCTGGCAGGCCTGTTCCCGGCCGATCCCGAAGATCCCACGTGGCCTGGGGACTCCAGACCCAGAACGGCAGATCTAGAGTGAGAGAATACGGCCTTTATCGCTGGGCGAAGACCCAAGGCTAGGCCCCAGATCAGACCATGTAATGGAAGCGCCCCGAGAGTTAGCAGGCAGGAGCCTTCTGTCTCCTGATGGGTACGGCTGGGAGAGCAGCGGGCTGAAGGGGCTCCCAGGGATGACGGACTGTGCCTGGGCCTTGCCCAACACCCTCATCTTGCTGCGGAGGAGGAAGCAGAAGGCTGAACGGAAATGACTTGCCCACAGGCATAGAGGGGAGTGGCAGAGCTGGGCTGAGCGGGATGTCCCCCTTGCCCGTACAAGCCCTCTGCCAAGCCCCCTGCCCCCCTGCACAGCCTCTTCGGCAGCCCCTGAGCACCTCCTGTGTGCCAGGCAGACTGAGCTGAGCGGGAGGCGCCCCCCTGCCCCCGCAGTGCTGCTGCTGGTGTGGGAGACAAACACAGGATCTGCCCCCTCCCTTCCCTCATACCTCCTGCCCCTCCCCAGACCTCAGGCTTGCCCTGTCTTCCCCCCACCCCCGACCCAGGGGCTTGGCACCCTGAGGCTGTGGGCCCCCACATTTCCTGCTTCCTGGCCCTGCTGAGAGTGCCCACCTTGGCCGTTCTCCCTGCTTGGGACTTGGTGGCTCAGGTCATTGGTGCTCCCAAGCTAGCCTAGATACATTTCGGGAGAGAAGGTTGTTCAGACAAAGCCCACAATTAACACTCCTTAGCGCCACCAAGACACCCCCCACCCACAAGATTCCCCTACTCAGCCACAGCCTGGCCAATGACAGGGGCCCTCAGGTTGTGTAAATAAATACACAGCTGCTTCCTTCTTCACTGTTCTTCAGATTTAGTGCTTGTGAAAAGACACATTAAGGAGAGATTAAACTTTTTTTTTTCTAAAATAAAAAAAAAAACCCAATAGCGACATGGAGCAAACTGCAGTGTAGGTCCTGTGCTCCTCGATTCCGGGGCTCTTTCCGAGAGCATGGGGGGGGGGGCACCAAGGCGAACAAGGGGCCAGACAAGAGAGCCTCAGGTTTCATAGAGGGCCTGGGACTCTGCTGTAGGTGTGGGAACTGCGAGGGGGCTGGCGGGGGAGGGGGAGGAGGACCCGGGACCCCAGGCCATCCTGCTCAGGATGAAGACTGTCCCGGCAGGTGGAGAACGGCCCCAGCTCAAGTTTTTCCCCCCCTGTGTTCTTGGCTCCAGGGATTTTCCGCCTCCTTTCTCTGTGGGTAATTATCCTTCCTGAGAAACTGATCAGATGGGAAACTGCAGGCAGTGGTTTGGAGCAAGGATTGTGTAGGAGTGGGGGCACAGTAGAGAGGATGTAGCAGGAGGGGGGGCTCCCTGCCAAGCAACAGGAGGTGGTGCTTTTGGAGGGGGAGGGAGGGCAGCCTGGGCAGGGCGGGAATTTAAAGCAGGGAGTGGGTGGCTCGAGGGGAACCGAGTCTCTCCAAGCCTCACTGTTCCGCAGGGGACCTAAGGGGACAGTGGAAGGCAGGGTGACCCAGTGGTTAGAGGCAAGCCCAGGTGCTGGGCCAAGCTCAGGCCTGTTCAGCCATCACGTGGCCTGTCCTTACCTGAAACCCCCTCACCGTGGGTCCTGGCCAACAGGTGGGTGTTTGTGGGCACCCTCCTAACACAGGACTCTACTCCGGCCCCCAGCTTCTGTTCATCCCTGCCAGTTAAGCAGCAGCCCTCAGGAGGATTTTGAGGCAGCCTGGCTTGGTAGGTGTGGCAGGTGATGGAATCACAGCTCTCTGCAGGCCTCCAGCTGTGCCTGGGGCTAAGACTACCTGTCCAGAGCCTGAATGGCAGAGGTCAGCCCTTCACAATCCTCAGGGTTACCTGCCAGCTCTATGGCCTTAGCCTGCTTATGTCATGCATCGTATGCACGCCCGCCTCACTGGTACTGATCTGAAAGTGTGATGCTCAGAGATTCATCACACACTTCTGCATCCTTTAATAACTGTGGAGATCACTGTGGAAGACGTCTTGTCTGTGTGTCCCCTAAGTTCCCGTCCCAGTCTGTAGCCCACACTCCTGAAATAGCCACTGCCTGGAACTTCTGGACAGTTGGTTTCCCTCTTGTTGTCAAGAAACTGGAGTCAGGCTTTGCATGTACCATGGATCCAAGAGCTTCCACTGATGCCCCTTGACTCAGGGATTTGTTCTTCTGGTCTCTGGACAGCAGTGCTTTGTATGAATCCTAGTCTTGTCTTGTTGACAGGGATCTGGGTTGATTTCCCTGGTTTTGACGATGATCAGCCAAGAACAAACACATTTCCCACATTCCATGGGATGTGGGAAAAATTGAATGAGATCATCTATTACAGTGTGTTTATTTTATTTTTGGTTTGAGAGTTGATCCAGCAGTGCTCAGGGGCTCCTTCTGCCTCCATGCCTCGGGGGTCACTCCCAGCGGTGTACCAGCATACCATGAAATGCGGGAACTGAACCTGGGCCTTCTCCATGGACAGAACGTGTCCCGGCACAGTTTAACTATGAGTTTTAAGTCAGAGCAGGTGATCAGGAAAATTTCCCCATTTTTTTAAAAATAAAATTCTTGTCATACAAATTTCAATGGGCTGGAGCGATAGCACAGCAGGTGGGGTGTTTGCCTTGCAAGTGGCCAACATGGCCAACCTGAGTTTGATTCCTCTGTCCCTCTTGGAGAACCCAGCAAGCTACCGAGAGTATCGCGCCCGCATGGCAAAGCTTGGCAAGCTACCTGTGACGTATTCCATATGCCAAACACAGTAACAGTTGTCACAATGGAGACGTTACTGAGCCCGCTCAAGCAAATTGATGAACAACGGGAGGACAGTGACAAATTTCAAATAAGCATCATTCTCCCAGGTTTTGTTGTTGTTCATGAAAAGGATGAAAGGGGCCGGAGTGATAGTACAGAGTACAGTGGGTAGGGCGCATGTGTCATCCTGTGTGGTACCCAGAGCTGGCCCGGAGTGATTCCTATGTGCAGGCCATTCTCAGGCATGGATGAGGAGGGAGGTCCTGCACCGGTCTAGGCTCCCCCTGTACCCCCAGACTGGGTCTCTTTTACTTCCCCAATCCCTTCCTGCCACCTGGGAAACCCATCCAGGACCCCTGCCCCTTTCCTCACAGGCAGATGAAGACCACGGCCCCGGTTGGGGTTCTGATTTCTGGTACAGCGTTGGACTCTCCTGAGCTCTGCCCTCAGGGCTCTGCAAGAGGGGCCACCAGGGATTTCCCCTCAGCCTGTGAGATTATGACCTCAACTGAGGACAGAAAACTGAAAACAGACTGGGACGTTCGCCCCAGGGGTTAAGGGTGTGTGCAAAACATGATTCCACCTGACCCGGCCAGATCTTTTGTGGCCTCAGAGACCCGAGCAGGGGTGGCCCAGGTGGCCCACGATACTGCAGTGCCAAGCACTGCATCCTCAAGTCTTGGCATTGAACCATCCAACGAGGGTAGCTGAGTAGGACTGGGAGTGGCCTCCAAGCCCCCTGAACACTGCCTGGGAGGGTCCACCCTCCCAAAAAACACCTCAGAGATTAGAAAAACAGACTGGCCTGGGTTGGGGCCTTTGTCTACCTCGCCCTGCTTCTCTCCAGGAAGAATTTGGAGTGATAAGGTGTTCATGGGACCTGCCCAGTGTTTAACCACCACATGCAGTGCCAGGCACACCCGAGGGTCCTGGCTGCTGGTGCCCTTTCGGGTCACCAGGCAGTGATAGGGGCCTGGGCAGGCCCTGTTGGTTCAGGAAATGGTTTGGGGAGGGGCTTTGGGCCATCATATGTTTGCAGGGTGAGGTGGTAACACGTATTCTAATGACCGTGAGCGGTGATATCACAAAACTCCCACACAGGGGCTGAAGAAATAGTACAGCAGGTAGGGCACTTTCCTTACCTGCAGCTGAACCAGGTTAGGTCTCTAACATGCTCTCGTGTTCCCTGAAGCTCCACCAGGAGTGATTCCTGGGTGCAGAGACTGGAGTAACCCCCCGGAGCATCGCCAGCTGTGGCCCAAACACCAAAAACAATTTTTTTAGAAAAGCACAAAAACGAGCAGGTGATGCCTGACCCCCTGTCTCGTGGCACACGAGCACTCTGCCTCTGTCATCGCAGGTGGTCCTCACTGGACCCCATGAGGTGCTTGAAGGTAATAAACCAGGACGCTGTGATCTGGAGCGGTCAACCAGCTACTGGTGGCACCAGGCAGCCCTGGGTGCTGGAAGGCCAGGACGGTACTGTGAGGTTCTCTGGTGTTGTCCGGAATGTGGCCAAAGTGCCCTTTCCATTCTGTGGAACTCACCAGCAGTCACTTCTCTACAGTGTTGCCAAAGCCCGCCTCTGAGCCGAAAGAAGGGTGATCCAGACCATCCTTGCGGCTCAGCTCCTGGGCGACCCAGGTGAGAGACACCCTGGCAGAGAGCAGAGGGCAGCCCCCGAGGCAGTTTCCTGGCCTGAGCCCTGTGCGGCCCTGTTCCTTCCCAGTGAGGTGGCCTTGGCCTTGGTTTATCTGCCTCTCCGCCTCAGTTCCTCACTGGCTCTAGGTAGTTGAGGGCCCAGGAGCCCCCTGTCTGTCATTGCATCCCTACCTCACGCCGAAGTAGGCCTCGGAGCTGACCAGAACTCTCTGGAGTGCCAGGCCCGGCCCTGGCTGCTCCCCTAGCCCCTGCCTCTGTGTGTCACACACATACAGGATCACCCAGCAGAAGTGCTGCTGATAGACTTTCCCAAATCCTTCCTGGGCATGAGGCAGCCCTGTGGGAGGGTCCAGCTCTGCCTCTGGGATCAAATGCCAGTTTTGTTGGTTCCTGGCTGGGCGCCATGGGGCTAGTCCTCTCAGCCCAACCCAGGTCTCTCTGCTGGAAAACGAAGATAAGGGTGCTTACCTCTCGGCATTGCAGAGGTTCCACGAGAAAGCACCGAGCGTGGGGCTAACACGTTCCACGCTGGCCTGCAGCTGGAGGGCTGCACTGGCCCCTGCGGCAGCTGATGGGCACCAACCAGAGCCTCTGCAGGCCGAACCCAGGCCAGGGAGGGGCCACTGGTGGACTCCCTTGGTGGAAGGGAAGTGTCACAGTGAAGATGGGACGAGGAAGAGCCGTGGAGGACTGGCTCGGAGCAGGACTCCCGGTGCCGCCATCCTCTTTCTCCGGGGCCTTGGCCAAGTCCCTGCCCCTCTCTGGGTTTCCTTCTTGCATCTGGAAAGATTGGACTGGAATGGCCCCGGAAGGCCCTTCCTCCTCACTCCTCTGACTTCGTGCTGTCCCTCCTCTCCCTGCTGTGAAGCCTGACCTCCCTTTGCCGTTTCTTGCGCCCTGGCCGTCCTGGCAGCGGCCCGCAGCTGTGTCCTCATCTTTTCTCTGCAGTGTCCTCTGAAGGGCAGCCTCCTCTGAGCATGCTCGGCTCTCTAGTTACTCAGCGCCTCTTCCAGCTGACCGCTCCCCCAGGGAGGGAGTGGAGGCACGGACCCTCCAGGCGTGCCTTCGGGGTCTGTGACTTGCACCTTCTTGTAGGAGAGCCCGCCCTGCCCCTTCTGCCAACCTCGGGGACCCTACTGCCAATGTGTCAGGGGACCTGAGTCTTCATGGCCTGGTCTCATCCACAGGGGATAAGAAGCAAGTTTAATGGTGCTCCTGAGACTTCAGCATCTTCTCTGCCTCTCTTCAACCTTCCCCTCGGCGGCCCCTCAGCTTCTCCTCAGCCTCCCCCTGTCATCCCTTAACCTCTCCTTCAGTCTTCCCTCAGTCTCCCCTCAGTCTTCCTTCAGCCCCTCCTCTGACACCCCATTAGCCTCCCCTCAGACTCCTCTAAACCTCCCTTCAGCCTCCGCTTAGTCTCTCCTCAATCTCCCCCAGTCTCCTCTCAGTCTCTCCTCAGCCTCTCAATCTTTCCCTCAACCTCCCATCATTCTCCCCTCAGACTCCCCTCAGCCTCTCCTCAATCTCCTCTCAGTCTCCCTCAGTCTCCTCTCAGCTCTCTTCCGTCTCCCCTCAGTTTCCCCTTAGTCTCTCCTTAGCCTCCCCCTCAGATTCCCTTCAGCTTCCCTCAGTCTCGCCTTCTGCTTCCCCCAGACTGTGTGGACCACCCCAGGCCTGTCCCTTACACCAGCTCCCCAAGGAGCTTCCTTTGGTGCAGGTCCCCCTCTTGCTGCGCCCCAGCTATGAGTGACCTCTGCCCTACCCCTCTGCTGTCCAAGCTCTGTTCATCTGACAGCGAGCCCTAGAAGGAGAACCCAGGCCCCTGCATCCTCCCGGCTTCTCTACTTTTCCTCAGAAATAGGCTTGTCACAACCATGACTGTGGTTGGGTTTCGTTTTGTTTTCATTGTCCTCTGAGTGTCTTTGCTTCATAGATGGGCCCTGGGCTGTGGACATTGCTTCTAGGGGAAGGGTGTGGGGCCGTGAGGTGATTTGCCAGAGACCAGAGAAGTTGGTGCTCAGAACAGGGGTCAGTCCCATCAGACAAAGACGGGCTCCCTTGATGGCCACATGGACTCTCTCCCTGCTGTGTTCCTGTTCCAGACAAGGACTGCGCCAGTCAGACGCTGGGGGGGGGGGGGGGGGGGGGGGTGTGGATGGAGGTAGTGAGTGTGAGAATCTCCAACTTTGTCCAGCAGCGGAGTGTGTGGGTCAGGCTCCTGACCCCCCAGTGGGCCTGGGGGGTGGGGAAACTGAGACCCGAAAAAGACAAGAGCTGGGTGAGAGCACCTGGCCTGCCAGACTGGCAACAGGTTTTATCTCTTGGAGGGAGGGGGCAACCTGGTCTCTGGAGACCCTGGGAGGCCTCAGCCCCCCTGCTGGGACCTGCAAGGAGCCACCCCCTGGAGCCTGTGTGGTGTCAGCCCCCTGAACCCTTGCTTCCTTTCTGAGGCACCCACAGGCAGGGCTTTCATACTTGCCCCTGGTGAGCGCTCTCTGCTGGATCTGGCAGGCCTGCCAGCGCGCTCTGAAACTGCCTCTCCAGGATATATTCAAGGCCCTAGGTGAGCACTTTACTGGGAGTCAGTGGTTCCCTATTTTTTGACCTGGCTCTGCTGCTACTCACGGGAGCATGGGTGGTTCTTTGGGCCACTCTGAACTTCCGTTTCTGTATCTGGTGTCTCCTGCCTTGCGTTTCAGTGAAGCCAGAAGAATGGCTGGCCGTTGACCATCTAATTATGTTTCCTTGCCACTTTTCCCTGTAATTAATTTGCATCCTGTAGAAATCCTCGGCCCGCACCACACTTGTCCTCCTGTCCTGCCTTTCCACGCACTGCTGCTTTGCCTAGAGGTCTCCTAGGATCCCATTCACCCTCCTTCAGATTCAGGCCAGCCACAGCTAATGTCCTCAGGCGCCGAGGGCCAACCCTGCGGGTTGGGCTAGCTCAGACAGGGATTCTGCGGGCTCAGCAAGTTTGGGTTGGGCCATGCCTAGCTCAGGGTCTATTCCTGGCTCTGTGCTCTGAGGTCTGTTTGTCAGTTGGAGATCTGTCAGAGTCATCTCTGTGCTATCTCTTTGGCCCCCAGCAAACCTTGATCCTAGCCACTGGACAGGCTCTGGGCTATGGAGCATCAAAGACCTGTGGGAGAGGGTCCCTGCCCTTGAGCAAGGCCCGGAGTGGGAGGCCACCAGGCAGGGTTAGGGCCCAACTGCAGGACCTTGAGGACCCGCTTCCAGACTTGTGACTGTTGGGTTTCTCCCTGGGGTGCCTCCGGAAGCCAGGAGGAGGGCTATTGTGCTCTCGCCCCTCCTTGGGGTTCCCTGTCAGCCTCACCCTTTTTCTCCCAGGGAGGAGAGAATTGCCCACTGCGCCGGCCAGGTTCGGGTGGGAGGGCTGTCCCCAGGCATGTGCAGGCCATGAGGAAATGGCCAGAATCGTGGACAGAGGATGGTATCCCCACCCCCATGGCTGAGGCTGCCAGCAGGTGGAGTGTGTCTGTTCAAGGAATGGCGGGGAGGTTGCAGAGGCAGCCAAGCAAGCTCTGCGGGAGTCCCGGGGTTGGACTGAGGGTGAGAGATAGGGGCCAGGGTGATTTGTGGGACAGGGGTCCAAGTACCTGAGTGAAGCTGGAGAGATGGGGACCGCTGCAGGAAGAACCTGCATGGGGGTGCAGACATGAGTGCTCAGCCGCTATACCTGGTCCCTGTAGGCTCAGCTTGTGACACACCCTGGCCACATCAGCCTCGAGTCACTCACCCAGTCCCCTGCCAGCCCCACATCATCTGTGGCCCACTGTGAGTGTGCTCTGCTCAGGCATCTTCTCATCGGTGACTTTCTGGCCCACTGAAGGTTACCCACTGCCCAGGCGCTTCAGGAGCTGGGCTGGCAACAGGGACTGCCGCCCTCTCCCAGCTGCCCACCGGTCAGTCTCCTCCCTCAGGCTCCCCCTGCCCTGCCCGGTGGCAGCTGGAAAATGGGACGCAGAGACCAGCTTTCTGCAGGGCTGTTGTCCTGAAAATGGCAGAGTCGCTCTCCTCCTGACACTGCTCCTGCACCGAGTACGGGTGTGGGGGAGGGCACCGGCAAGGAGTTCAAGCTGTGGACCGTGGGTGGACTTTGTTGTGATGCTTCCGAGCAAAGTGACTTTCACCTGGAAGGGCCACTCGCTCGGAGCATCAAGGATTTTATTCTGTACACTCAGTGCCAGTGTTCTTTGAAATTTGCATTTAGCAAATGACACCCTACCCCCACCAAGCTGAAAAGAAAGGAAGACGTCAGCTTCCCACGGCTCTCAGGGCTCTGGAAATGGCGCTGTGCCTCTTGCTTCTTCCCCCCAACTCCAGGTATGGGTGCCCCAGTGCTTGGAATGTCTGCCCCTGGCAAGTCCCGAGAACAGTCTGGCAGGAGGTCACAGACAGGGACAGGGTGTGTATGTGCGTGGAGGGGTGGGGTGGGGGACAGGCTGGGAGCCACATTCCTGGGGTGCCAGGAAAAGAAGGGAACTTGCAGCCAGATGAATTCCAGGTGCTTCCCCCCCCCCCCGCCCCCATGATTGAAATGCAGGGAACCAAAAGGGGTTCTTTGCAAGGGAAGTGATTTAGATTTTTCTAATGCCAGTGTTAGCCACGGGAGTGGGAAAAGTGGAAGCCAGAGCTCTCTGGTTACATGAGCAGTCACAGAGGCCAGGCCTGCGGGGACGCTGTGTGGAGGACCTCAGGGTAGAAGAGTGCAGCCTGCCTCCCCGCTGAGCCTCCAGGAAGGCCCAGGCAGGACAGTGAGCTCACCCGCCCCCGCCCCGTGGTGGTGGGCAGGGGTGGGGGAGTGTCCACGGGGTCTGACCCTGGCTCTGGGCCCCGGGGCCATGTAAGTGGTCAGCCCTTTGCTGTTCCTTTACTTGTTTTGTTGTTGTTTGTTGATTTTTGGTCACGCCCCACTCAGGTGCTCAGGGCTTACTTTTGTCTCTGTGCTCAGGGATCATTCCTGGTGGGGCTCAGGGACCCAATGGGGTGTCGAGGATCAAACCAGGGTCAGCCATGTGCACAGAAAGTGCCTTACCCACTGTACTATCCCTGCAGCCCCTCTTACTTACCTTTAAATAAGGCAGTAGCACCTAGTACGTTAGAACAAATGAATTCAGGGGGGATGCGATAGCGAAGCGCTTAGCGCAGCCCTTGCCCGTGGTCACAGCGCACTGCGCAGGCTCCACTGTTGCCGCAGAGTTAACATACACAAGAGGACGTTGAGTACTGTACTGTTTCCATTGTTGGCCAGGGGGTTGGAGATTGTATGGTGGGTATAGGAAGCAGGAGAATCACTAGATTATTCTCCTGCCGAATTTGTTGCCAGGAAGTTTCAGCTGATCCTGATTTCATTTAAAATCATCAAACAGGGCCATGGAGCTCAACAGGCTGATCACATGCTTGCTTATTTCCCATGCAGCAGACTCGGGGTCAGTCCTGACCTTGTCTGGTCCCCCAAGCACAGTATGTATATTGTCGAGACCTGCTAGAACCGTGGCCCATGGGATAGAGCACAAGCCTTGCTCATACAAGCCCCTGGGTGAGATGCCCAGCATCCAGCACTGCCCTGTGTGGTCATGGTGGCCCCCGAGCACCCCAGTAGTGGCCTCACAACAGCTAAAAAAAGAAAAAAGGCAAATCATGAGGCCGGAGATACAGTACAGTGGAAGAGCGGTTGCCTTGCATGTGGCTGACCCAGGTTTGATTCCCGGCACCCCTAGCCCACCAGGAGTAACCCCTGAGCACAGCCAGGTGTGGTTAAAAACTAAATAAATAAAATGGCCCAAGTAGCTGGAGAATGTTCTTGTCCTTCCTGAGACTCAGGGGGATGGTGGGCCACGTTCTCATACTCAGTGGTAGGATGCGTGTTTTATTTGTATGAGGTCCTCACACCCAGA